CAGAGAAAGTGCTGTGGTCCAGCAGCTTACAAATGGCGTAGGAAAGGGGCCCTGGAGTATATGCCTACACTGTGCCCGCCGACCAACCCCAGAGAAGAACCATCCCACCCCTTCTTGCTCCTATCAGCTGTTGTCAGCCTGCAGTGAGAAGTTGAGAATTCCTGGGCCCTACTTCCCCGAGTTAAGTCCTTCATTACATATATGCCCCGAACACTAAACAATTACCACCAAGTCAATCCCACTCATCGAAACGTGTAGGACAACATTGAAGTGCCCCCATTGAATTTCCAAGGCTGTAAACCTTTACAGAAGCACAATATCACATCTTCATCTTAAGGGAAGGCTGGTGAATTCAAACTCCCAGCCTTTCAGTTGGCAACCAAGTGCTTAACCCAGAGTGCCCCAAGGTTCCAAAGTATATGAAAAACAAACCCACTGTCATCCCTCAGACTCCAACTCATAGCCAGAGACCTGTATAGGCTTTCCAAGGCTGTCCCACTTTATGGAAGTAAATGACCTCATCTTTTTACCACGTCTCTCTCTGTTTAAGTACACACCGAAAACCAAAACCCACCTACTACCGTCAAGTCTACTTCGACCCATAGAGACCCTGTAGGACCAAGGAGAACTGTCTCTGTGGGTTTGAGGCTGTCAGTATTTATGAGAACAGAAAGCCTCATCTTTCTCACTCAGAGGGACTGGTGAGTTTGAACTTCCAACCTTGTAGTTAACGGTCCTATGTGTAACCCACTATGCCACCAGGGTTCCTGAGGTATATGCCACAAACCAAATTCTTTGCTACTGAGTCAAATCTGACTCATGTGATTGTACAGAACAGAATAGAACTGCCTGTCTGGGATTCTGAGGCTGTAAATGTTCCCAGGAGCAGAAAGCGTCATCCCATTTCATCTCTCCCAGAAGGAGTGGCTGATGGGTTTGAACTGATGACCTTGAAGTTAGCAGGTCAGCACTTACCAGCAGCACCACCAGGACTCCTCATAAGCATACTCAAAAAGAAAATCAAATTCATAGCCATTGAGTTGATTCTGACTCATAGGGACCATATAAGACAAAGTAGAATTTCCCCTTTGGGTTTTCAAAGCTGTAAGTACTTTTTCTTCCTTTCTTTCTTTTTATCATTTTACTTGGGGCTCCTACACCTCTTATCACAAACAATCCACCCATCCATTGTGTCAAGCATTGAGCCAACTGGGCTGATAAACACATGTGGGATTAATTGAAGGGCAGAGAGATAAATGGCTCCGCGAGACTTGACTTTTTTGTCTCTTGCTCCTTGATCTTCAGACCAGTGTATGGCTGCCTTGATTATTCTTTGCCTCAATTTGGAAGCAACACTACCTGTGGGACACCTAACCCGTGGACTGTGTCACTGTAATTTGAGGTTCCTTCAAGACATGCTTCGCCACACTATTGGAATATACATCTCTTAAACTGGTGACTGTCAGACCCTGTCATCTGGCTGACTGTTGGTGACCTGCCTTGCTGTTTGCTGTCTGTGCAGGGATAGCCTGAGTTGCTCTACAGAGGCCTACCCAGTGGCCCTCAAGACTTGAAGGACTGCCAGTGTCTCACAGGTGTCTCATGGGAGTGAGTTGCACTGAGCCACTTGTACTGCTTTATAATTTAATTAACTGTTTCTGTCTCATGTTATATATCTATCTATCTGTATAAATATATATAAAATTACTAGCATTCTGGTTTTGTTTCTCTAGAGAACCCTGTCTAACACAGTGCCCTATTCAAAAATGAAGTCTACTTACCACCCTTAAATTCATTTTAGACACATTCATATTTTTAAGTTAAATAATCCAAATTGGGTACAATGTGACCATACAAATCTTATCTAATTACACATTAGATAATATTTATGTAAGCATATTAGTATTTTTATTACATATATTTATGTATTATGCACTAGAACTTAAATACGTAAATGCACGTTTTAAGATATGCCTTATGCTTATATTATTAATGTGACTGAATGTGTGCTAAGGGTGTGGGCATGTCCTTGTTAATTTCCTTAGGATAGTTTCTAGTTAGTATAATTGTGATTAAAGGACTGGTTCATTTTAAGGCATCTCATGCACATTGTCATATTGACACCTCTTCCATGAATAAATTTTAGGGGGC